CTCAGAACCGAACATTCGGAGGATTAGAGGATCTCCATCAACTTAATCACTTCTTTCATTGACTGTTTAATATCAGCCATCAACAACATTTGAAGACTATTTCTAAAGCTTTTTAATCATTAACATTTATTAGTTTTCGATTAACCCTACCAAAATTCCAATTTAATCTATTCTAGTTATATTTTAAAAATAGAATTTACATAGGTTTAAAAGTAATTTCAAAAAACTAGACAGGTGAAAAGCTATATAATTAGCATATAGTGTTGTATGAGATTATTCAGATGAAAATTTTTATTTTCGCATAATAGAGGAGGATAGTAACATGCTAATTTTAGGGCTTGTTTGGATTGAGGGGAATGAGGGTGAAGGGAAGTTAGGGGAACCATTCACCTCCATTCACCTTGTTTGGGAACACTTAGGAGGTGAAGTTAATTCACCTCCATTCACCTTGGTTCACCCCCTAATAGTATAAAAATTGTTACCCCCCAAATTGGGGTGTAACCAAGGGGAAGAGAATTCCCTTCCCTTCCCTTCCTTTCCCTTCCCTTTCCTTCACTCAGTTTCCCTTAACTTCCCTTCACCCCCTACGAATCCAAACAGGCCAATAGTATAAAAATTGTTACCCCAAATTGGGGTGTAACGGGAATTCCCTTCCCTTCCCTTCCTTTTCCTTCCCTTCCCTTCACTCAGTTTCCCTTAACTTCCCTTCACCCCTACGAATCCAAACAGGCCCTAATATAGGTATATAAATGCTAAGAAAAAGAATCGAGTATACATAAATGCAAAGTGAGTGAAGCTATAAGGGATTTAAATGCTATTTAGTCCCCAAAAAGAAATAAGAATAACAATTTCTTATAAATGCTGTTGATGATCATGGTCTCATCAAAGATTCAAATCCCGGACAACACGGCCTTTCACCTCCCTCCTAAAATCCCCAATTTCAAAACCCTAACTCTCTCTCTCTCATATGGAGTAAGAAGGTAATCCCAATTTCTTCGATTTCTTCCATTAATACCTGCATTATATTCTCTCTGTAATTCAATCTTATACTAAATTTAGTACCTTTTTAGGTTGTTCGCTGATTTGATTCTTGCACGAGCATCGTAAAGAAAACTGCCGCTCCAAGGTGAGATTTTTGCTGCATGTAAGGTTTCTCCGCAAAAATAGCTCAAAATTTTTTTAATGACTCAAGTGGTTCTTCATGAGCTTCTGCTAACCACCGGTGATCAAACCGCGCATGATTTTTTGTTCTTAAATTTGATACAAAATTTGCTAATTTTTTGTTTGTAAAGTTGGAGCTTTTTTTCTTCTGCGGAATTAGTACAAAATCCTTGCAAGATCTCCAATTTAGGCTCCGTAGTTGCAAAATGGAAATAAAACAAACTTTCACCGAAATAAACACTGATATGTTTGTAAATGTTGTATATTTCTCTCTTTTGCATAGAGAAGCTTAAAGATCTCTCTTTTATCCGTGCAAATTTTCCAAAATCTCTAGAAGAAAAATTAATGTCTTCTTGATTTATACAAACCTCCCAACTTCTTGTTTTGGAAATATTCTCCGGCCTCCTATCTCTTCTCACATCTCTTCTCTCAGGTGAATGAACTTAAGAGGCCCATAAGAGCCCAAGAGAAGAAACTAGCACAATGGCCACAATGCACCTCAATCTCAATAACCCACCATTGATAATCGAAGAGGATATGAGGGCTGTTAAAATTGAAGAAGGTACCCGAAACAGTCCCATTATAGTAGCTCCTTTCCGTAATGGTGATCAAGGGAGTAAGATTGAACCCATATGCTTAGATGTAGAAGATGAGGTGGAGATCGTTGGGGATTCTAAGAATCCAATTTCAGTTGATGATTACTTTTTATTGGATTTGGATTGCATTGAAGTAGAGACGATTGATCGAAAAGGCAAAAAGCCTAAAAGAGAAAGCAAACGCAGGTCTATTGAGATCGGTGAATCTTCTACTCCTCCTCCAGCTGACCCTGATGCTTATTGTAGCATTTGTATGGAGCCAAAGTTCAAATATGAGTGTTTCTCCTTAAAGAATTGCTCACATCTCTATTGTTCTGCTTGTGTTAGCCAATATATTGAGGCCAAGGTTGAAGAGAATGTGACTTCTATTATGTGCCCTGATCCAAGTTGCAGTGATGGGTATTTAGAACCAGAAATGTGCAGGTCTATTCTCAAGCCGGAGGTTTTTAATCGATGGGGAAATGCTCTATGTGAGGCTATGATTGGAGCGATGAAGTTTTATTGCCCCTTTAAAGACTGTTCTGCTTTGTTGATTGATGAAAGGGGAGGGGAAGTTATAAAGCAGTCAGAGTGTCCTCATTGTTTCAGATTGTTCTGTGCTCAATGCAAGGTTCCATGGCACACAGGAGTGAACTGTGAGGATTTTGCAAAGTTGGGTATGGCAAAGAAGTCAAATTGGCAGAGGTGCCCCAAGTGCAAGTTCTATGTGGAGAAGGTTGATGGCTGTATGTTCATAAAGTGCAGGTAATCTCTATCTTTAACTGATTTATTGCTAGTAATGATTCTTGTCAGAGATACATTTCTCATCTAAGATGCTATCTGCTGTAATTGCATTTGTCTTGAACTTGTACTAATTCTATATTTATGTAGGTCGCATATTCTTTTCTCTTATTTCGAGGATTATGTCTTGAAAAGAGATATTTAATTATGATAAAATTTCAGGAATCGAAACCGCAAGACTTGAACATGAGTGCCATTATAGCAAACTTTATTCTATTGAACTACATGCTATATTGGACTTAACAATGCTTTTCCTTTGAAATACATGTTAAATAACTAGGTTTTTCACACTTTCTTTTGTCATGCTGATACTTTCTTTTAGGGGGTGGATTTTACATTATTGATATTATGCAATTTGTTTTTATGCTTGGAAGATTATGTCATCATATGTAATTGTACTGAAAAGACTTGTTTTTCTTTTTGTTGTGGTTATGGTGGGGTACTGGAGGCTAATCATTCACACTTGAAACTAATGAAGAGCCTTCCAAAACGCAAATCCACCCTTTCATTAATTCTAACCCATTCAAAGTCCTTGAAATCTACATCAAAATGGATTGATGTTTTATGCCTACATGCATCAGTTAGCACTAGTTGCACAGAAAAGTAAAAGTAAGTTGTTTGGATTCATGCTGCATGGCATATAGATTGAAAATATATTGTTGCTTATGATGTAAAGACTTCAAATCCCCTGTACACCAATTTTCATTGGTTTAATACTAGTCCTTAGATCTAAAACCCTATGCCTTTCTTATTTTAGCCATTTTAGCCACTTAATGTATAGGAAAAAAATCTTTTAAAAAAATCATTAGTTGCTTTGTTTTTAGACCATTATATGACATTGATCAAGTATGTAAGGATAGTGAGTTTTTAACTTATAATAGTCCAGCTTGTCCGCACTAAACTTGATTGAACTTGAGCCTGATCCTTAGTGGGACCAGTCTCCATGCCTTGAAGTGTCAATGGATGAGAAGTAATGCAATATGGAGACTTCTCCTGCATGTACATAACGGTTGCAGTAATTGAACTAACGGAACTGAAAAGCCGCATGATCCATGAGTAAAGTGTAACTGAATCTTAGCACACATCTTTTTGAGCATATGCGACATGTTTTTTGTGCTGTTTATGCAAGTCTCTCCAATCTTATTAGTTTTTTTATTAGTCCTCTGTTCATTATTCAATCTACTTTGCTTGTTTAGGTTGGATTAGTTGCTAAGCACACATGTTGAATTACATTTCTATCCTCAATTAGTCGTTTCCTAAGTTGCATGGAAACGGGCACGGGTACTGGTACGGGTGCGGGTACGGGTAGGGGACACCGCAAAATTGTAAAATGTAGGGTACAGGGACACAGCTACATATATATATTGAATTAATTATGTACATGAAATAAAATTTTCCCGCTTCATGTGTCATTAGAATTAAAATCCTGATTACATTTTTGAGTTTCTTTTATCATATTGATTATTGTGAATTGTAAATTACTAGACATCTAAACATCCATTAACTATATAGTTTTGAACTTGGGTATGGACTGAAACGAACCTGACCCGTATCTCATTAGTTTCAAAAGACGGATGTGAAGTGTAAGCTCTACGTCCAGGAAGTCTTTGACAAGTGTTTTAAATTAACACATATATCGTATAATTGAGTACATGTTTGTAATAAATGCGTGTATATATTCAAGAAGTGTCCATGAAGTTTGGGTACGGGAAAGTGTCGGGTCCGTGTCCGGTACGGGTACGGCTTCATTATAGAAGTACCCGGGTAACATAGGCCGTTTCTCTCTCTGAGATATACCTTAAAGTTCAAAGAAGGGGATTTACAGAAATGGACTTAAAAGGGGTTTGGAAACTCACATATGGCGTTTAAACAGGTTTGGAAAAAAATGGTTTTGGGTTTGGAGTAACTCATTGGAGTACAACTGAAAACTAGGGGTGGAAGTGAGCCAAATAATTAACAAACAGTTTGATTATTATTCATCTAGCTATTCGATGTAGGGGTGAGCACGGTTCGGTTCGGGTCGGTTTTTACCAAAATTTGAACAACCGAACCGAACCACCTACAATTCAAAACCGAACCGAACCATTACAAATCGGTTCGGTGCTTTGTGTAGCAAGCTTTGACTTTGGTCTTTGTGGAGACAAAAAAGGAGCTGACTCATTAGAACATTGGTTATGTATGAATCAATTCCCTACAACTGCTATTCATGGTGATCGAACATAGCAATAAACCCACAAATCAAAGGCACAAATATATTCGGTTGGTTCGGTTCGGATCGGTTTGAAAAATTATCAACCCGACCCGAACCGCCTTACTCATAAAACCGCTTTTTCCGGGTCGGTTCGGGTCGGTTCGGTCGGTTTTTTCGGTTTGAACCGAACCGTGCTCACCCCTAATTCGATGATATTTTATTCGATAGTTCATTTAACAATAAATAAATAATTTTTAATATTTGGTTAACAAATGAATATAATTTAACCAAACGTATATTCGATCCACTTGATTATTAAATATTTTTTTAATGTTTTATATTTATGGTAAATGGTAGATTAGACATTTGCTAAATGTTTTAGTTAGTTTTAATTGAGGTGTAAACTTGAATGGAAGAAGCAAATTAGCAATTATCATGCTTTGGAGTGTAGATTTACAAGTATATTCAAATTAGAGTTGTAATGTGAAAAGTAACCTAGCAAATTTGGGAAGGAAAAATTGTTCGGACCCAGAGCTCGTACCAAAGACCAGTGTTTGAAGAAGCATAAGCTCCAACCAAGTGGAATACCGAATATTCGCGAATATTAACCGAATAGATAGTATATATAGTAATTCAGATATGGACATAATTGTAGTATTTGTCCCAGATTCAAATTCAATTATCATCATATTCTATACAATTGTATTGTTTACCACCCCTACTGAAAATCCATAAAAAATTAAGTTCAATGGAATTTTCCTCAAAAATCAATCAGTAGCTTAATTATGGGGACTAATTTTTAAAAAACCAGTAAATTTTGATTCTATGAAGTGTCTGGGCGCATATTTCTTAAGAGGCACTTTATCTACTTCACCTTTTTATTATTTTATATGTTCTTGTGAGTTTGTATATTTGGATTCTATCATGAATTTATTTGAAAGAGAAACCCTAACAGATATGGATTGAATTTAGTGTCTCTTTTTATGAAATAAATAAAGGGCACTTATATATCTTAGGCTCCAAGATAAAATTTATTGTTCCACTGCTGCCTTTTCACACATATATATGGAAGCATACACATACCTGCACATGAACATGCATTCATTAGTGTGTAGATGGGGTTAGATATACCATAAAATTTTTTAATTATAGGTTACCACTTTGGCTACAGTTGCAAGTGCTTATGGCTTATAGATAGTTGCAACAGAGTGAAATTTGATTGGTATTTTTACAGTTATTAAGGCAATCTTTGAAGACCCTGGCATTAGTCCTTAAACTATGTCTATAAACCTTATGCAGGTCCACATTTTGAACTTTAGGCATGCACAAGAGAAGGAGAATAGATGACATTTGATCAGTTGATGTGAAAATATACAGGACTTTGTGACATAAACATATACTGGATGTATATTCTCTTTTCTCAGTGGTGTGAAAATATATTAGCATGTCCTCCCTGTGTAATGAAGTACAAATGCATAATAGCTAAAAGGCTGGTGAAAAACTTATTTTTCTCATCACTGATTTTTGTTCTTTCACAGAACTTTGGTCTTTGTCGTAATTCTTGAAAACTCATTAGCATTTAACCTAGGATTACTTGCAGATAGACCCCCTGCACTATTGCCCACTTGCAGATATATCCCCATAGTTCTGTTGGTGTGGATAGACCCGGTGTACTATTGACCACGTGCGGATAGAGCCCTGGGTGAATTTCTTTTAACTCTAAAAGGAGCAAAAAAAAAAAAAAGTTCACTTGGGTGCTATCCAGTAGAACTACAAGGGTCTATCGGAATTGGGCTATAGCACAATGGGTCTTGCTGCAATTAACCCTTTAAACTAATTACTTATTTTGTTTTGATTTTTTTAGGTGTGGTCATCAGTTCTGTTATGGATGTGCAACACCAATGAGTGTGGATCATTACTGTAAAACGTGCCGCCGGTAACAAAACTGTGATTTAGAAAAGCTTTAGGTAAAGGTTAAAAACACCTCATGTAAAAAAGTTCTCTAGCTCAGGTTATATAGTTCCTTCTAGTTATATTGAAAGAATTGCTGTTCTTATGTCCTAGAGATTAAGCTCCTGACTTTTGATTTCCTTGTAATTGTACGGATGTTTTACCTTGTTTATTAAATTTTATTTGATATCAATGAATATCAAGAGGTTTGGCAGTGTAGGTTAAAGAAGTATTTATACATTGTATATGTTGGTTTGATGACTAATCTTATAAATGTTGATTTCATTCTATGTTATTAGCTTCAGCTGCATAGAACAACACACTTATCATCTACTAGGATATGATTTTAAGTCTAATGGTAATACTTCAAGCCATGGTTCGCTGTAATCATAAAGCTACACCATTGACTCTTTAACGTCTAGAATGACCGTTATACTTAGGGTGTGTTTGCTTGGTTGTAACTATAGAGTTTGTGACTCCAATTTCATGCAATTGGATTATTTTTTTTCTAGTTGTAAGTGTTTGTTTTTGTAGGATCTGGATAACTACACGATTCAATAGGGTGATCTGCTACATAAACAATGTATAACCGAAATAACATAAACCCTAACATGCATCTAGGAAACCTAAACAACAAGTTTAGGGTTACAGATTCAATTTTTTTTTTGTAGGATCATCATGTTTTTATTGATCAACGGTCGTAGGGCACCCGTACCGTGTAATCGCTGAAAGACCCCTACATATCACCCTACAATTACTGCATAAAGCACAAATTCGCGAAGAAGGAGATGATGGCTATATGAAGGTTTATGGTCTATTCTCTCATTCACCCATCATGAAAACCTGATATTTGTATATTAGGGCTTAGAAATAAAATTCTACACTTATTAGGATTATGAATATCTTATTTCTAAGATAAGATATTATTCACTCACTTATTTAGTTGTCTATCTTATAACAATAACCAACTACTCCCACTCACACAAATGAGGGGGTGTCATCCATTACTCTCTGAGCCGGCTACCTAAGGCGTTGACTCCTAGAGTCAAAATCTCCTTGAGAATCTCCTTTCTTTTTAAATTCATGTGCATGCATCGTTAGTGCTATGTGGATCATTGAGAAACTGCAAGCAAGTAGCTTTACAGCAAGGTCCGTTACGATCGACACAATGATCTCCCTAAAAAACAAACAACGAATAGGGTAAGTATGCAGTATCTCTTATCCCAAATCTGATCAACCATGTCTGCTCAAGTACTTTCGATCCCTTGAAAAAGCGTACGTGAACACCATGGTTTGCCCTCGATTCATCACACTCTTAAATCATGTTCCCGACATAAATAAGAGTTGGCCAAGAGATGCAATTAGGAGACATGTTAATCGATCTTCCTCTGGCCTTGAATAGTTGAGCGTGTTGGTTATCTGCTTTCCTAACATTGCCCTGTATGTGTAGTATTATCTCATCGCAGCAGGAAACATCAGCTAAAGTAGTGGACGTCCGTAATAGTCTTCCTAGACAGCCCAGTGTATCTAAGAGTACAATGAACATCTTTCATTATTGGTAGTCGTCGACGAAGACTCACACAACGAGGGAGCAGGGATCCATCCCTCGACCTCCTTATGTCTAGTCCAAGTACATGTTGTATGACAATGTGCTACGATGCTACTTCTCACTGAAAGCATACATCATTAAATGAATAACATATAGACCTAAGTTCCATCACCATGTGATGAACTTGTTCAATCATAGTGCCCTGCGATATGCTTGGAATCTCCTGACAAGTCTACATCTCATGCGCCAAGTCAGACCCCTAGTCTAGCTTATGGTAAATAGTGGGCGTGAGTTTCCACTTTGGTCGCTTCAACATACAAGTATACAGTAACCTCATCTTGACCCAGTCACGACAACCTATATAGTGCATGTTGAAGGTGGTTTTCAGAATTCAAATGAGGATATGTGCTTTCGGCTTATATCTTATGAACTCAAACCTACTTGATGGTTTCTTATTCACAAATAATAATAATAATAATAATAATTGACGAGCCAATGATTTCAAAAATGCTATCGGCAGGTCGTGATGCCAACATGATTTCAATAGAAAATTATGGTCGCTTGATGTCGTGAGTGTTAAAGACCAAATAAACAAGAAAAAAAATTTCCTTTAGAATAATTTAGCCAATCGCCTTAAAGCTTTGGTAATTTAGAAATAAACAAACCAACAAAAGAGCGGCTCACGAGTCTTGGCCCATGAATCAAACATGAGAATTGCACAGAATAAAAGGAAAATTAAAGGAAAATTAAGATCAAAATCTTTCATTATTTTCGGTCAATCTCTTTTCTTTACTGCCCAATATAATCAATAGAAGAGAGAGAGAAATAAACAAGGAAAGTTGAAATAACTGGCAACTCAATATAACAAAGGTGATTACAGTATTCCTAATCCGCTAAATACATAGAAAAAAAAAGAGAGAGAATCCAAGAGAATAAGAAATAGAACAGAGAGGAAATCATATCATACTCCTTATAAAAGAGCGAATTTGAGAAAAACTTTCTATGATCAATTTTACCCTTAATCTCCTTGGATATTACATTCTAATTTTATCTTAACATATTCATATAATTTAAAGGTAAAATCTTCAACCAAAATTTGACATTAAAAGAGATCAAATAGTGGAACTAATTTTCTATCCTATTAAGAGATGACATATATTCAGCTAATTCTATCTTCCTAAGAATTCTCATTAAATTAAAACTATTCATATCTATTACTAGAAATTCATATTCATAAAAAAGTTAATTCTGATAATCAAAATTTTGTTAATTCTAAAAAAGTTCTAACTATCCACAATTAAAAAAATCTAAAAAATTATCCTTATCCCTCCTTAATTATTTTAAAAAGTGAATTTCAATGAACCTTTTAGAACTTTAAATTGAGCATTAAACTCACAAAATATATGTAATTCTCATCAAATCCTTAGTAAGTTAGATAATTTCAGAAAGCAACCAAAATATTTTGAATTTTTGCACTTAAGTTTCAAAATGACGTTACCCTAAAAATTCACATCGGCTAAAATTAATCCTCAAGGATAGTATATACCCCTCAAATCGATCTTATTTGCAAGTTAACCCATAAATTGATAAGCAACCCAAAAAATAGGAAAAATTATAGATAGCTACTAAAGATTCTAAAATTACAAATAATACTCAAAAAATTTTGAAAGCTAAAAAAACATATAGGCCCCTAAAAAATTGAAATTGTAAAAAACCCTTTAAAATCTTAAAATTAAAAAAAATACTTTTAAAGTTCTAAAATTATGAATAACATACAAAAATTCATAAATTACACATAACTTCTGAAAAATTAAAAAAATGCAAACAAACCCCTTTAGAAATTAAAAATTATAAACAACCCTAAAAAATTCAAAAATACAAACAAACATATGAAAAATATGAAAAATACTAAAAATCTCATAAAAAGTAAAATATTACAAATGACATACTAAAAATTTTAAATTGCAAACAACCCCCTAAACATCCTAAAAATAATAAATTGATCACTTAAGTTAGAAAACTACAAAGAAAACTTGAAAAAATTACAAAAAACTTAAAAAATTATAAAAAGTATAAACAACCCTCTAAAAAATCAAACATTAGACACAAACCCCTCTAAAATCTAAAAATTACAATCAACCTTTTGAAAATTCAAATAAATACAAATAAACCTCTAAAAAGATCTAAAAATTATAAATGACCGTTATTTTGGGTTTTTTGCTAAAAATTGCCAGGGTTTTAGTGAAAAAATGTAAAACTCATTGGGTTATTTGGGTGTACTTTGATCATCTGACTGCGCATGAATTAATATTGTTAATTTTAAGGATTCTCTGCCAAAAATTATTGGACGTTTTGTTAGAGTTTTAAAAATATTTGATATTTATTTCCAAATAGTAAAATTGTTGGGGGTTTAGTGAGATTTACCTTTATGTTAATTTTGAGGGTTTCATGAAATTGAAAAAAAAGCCCCTTAGAAAATCTGAAAATGTGGAAAAGACTCTTATCATTCTAAAATTATAATCCATAAAAATTTCATAAGTTATAAACAACCTATGTAAAATCTAAAAAGTACAAACAACCTCCTTTAATTTTTGAAAATTAAAAAACAAAACCCTAAAATTTTAAATTTTCAAAAAACAAAAACACATGAAAATATGAAAAGAACGAAAAAATCCAATAAATTTAAATATGACAAATAGCATCCTAAAAAAATTTTAAATTGTACACAGCCCCCTAAAAATCTAAAAAATCATAAACAAACCCTTTTAATTAGAAAATTGCAAAGAACCATCAAGAAAATTACAAAAAAAAACCCAAAAAAAATAAAAAGTACAAACAAACCCCAAAAAATATATAATTAAAACTAAATCTCTCAAACATCTAAAAATTATAATCAACCTCTTGAAAATTCTAATAATTACGAAAAACCTCTGAAAAAATCTTAAAATTGTAAACATACAATGTTTAGGGTTTTTTTGCCAAAATTATTTTCATGTTAAGTGAAAAAATGTAAACTTAAAGGGTTATTAGATAACAATGTTAGCTTTTAAGGGCGTAGAGTGAGAAGAATTCATGGTGATTTCTTAAATTTTCAAATTTAAGGGGGATTATCTATATTAAGCTCAAATATGAGAGGCTTTCTCAAATTAAAATGGTTGAGGGCGTTTTCGTAGAGAATCTTTATATTTGAGGGGAGTTAAGTGAGAAAAGTTCAAGGGATTATCTCAAAGTTTTATAGTTGAGGGGGCGTTATCTATAATATGCTTAAACCTGAGGGGATTTCCTCATATTAAAATAGTGGAGGCGGTTTTTATAAAATTAATCCATTATTTTTTAAATATGATAATATAAAATCTCA